TCTTCTTCTTCTTCTTCTTCTTCTTCTTCTTCTTCTTCTTCTTCTTCTTCTTCTTCTCCTTCTTCTTCTCCCCTCCTCCTTCTCTTTACTTCCTCATGCTTTTTTCTTCTTCCTCTTCTTTGTGAGAAAGCTTACTCAGATGAAATGTATCAAGACCATGAAGCTAGAAAGTGACGTAGTCTAGCAGTGTCTTTGCTCCAACTATCAAGTGATATTTGACCCCCTGGCTCTAGCATTCTGTTCACTCTAACGATGGAAAAGGACAGCCTGACTTATCAAGGAGAGGAGAGTATTTTCTATTGTTTCTGCCTTTGTAGGTAGAGTTTTTAGTTGGGACCATTGGTCAGTTCTGTCCCACCAGCACACTTCCAAATAACCACACAGAGACTTATTATTAATTATAAATGCTTGGCTGATAGCTTAGACTTGTTACTAACTAGCTCTTTCAACTTAAGGTAACTCATATTTATTATCTATACATTACCACATGGTGGTACCTTTTTTCAGCACAGCATATTCATCTCCTGCTTCTTCTGCACCTCTGGCTGGTGTCCCCCTGTGACTCTGCCCTTCTTTCCAACATCCTCTCAGTTTGGCTCTCCTGCCTAACCTCTTCCTGCCTAGCTATTGGTCAGTCAGCTCTTTTACTAAACCAATCAGAAGTGCCTTGGCAAAGACACATCTTCACAGTGTACAAAAAGATTTTTTTATAACATGCCTGTCCAGAATGCTCTTCTGACCTCACTCACCTGTCAAATTTCTTCCTTCTGCATATTCAGTCAGGGTCAGCTCTTAGATTAATGAGGTCAATAATATATGTGTAAACCTTTGTAGCTGTACACTAATATTTACATGGGAATTTTGCTTATAGAATGTTTGAAAGAATCTAGCAAACATACTACACCCCTCCCTGTGTGTGTGTATGCGTATGCATGCACATATGTATATTAGGTACATGTGCATGTGTGAGGCCATGGAGGCCAGAAGTTCAAATTTGATGTCCTTCCTCTTTCAACATCTACCTTGTTTGTAAGGCAGGACTTCTCAGTGGCCTGATACTGACCATATCCACTAGGCTGGCTAGCCAGTGAGCCCTTGGGATTTGCATGTCTCTGCCTCCCTATTGTTTGATATTATATCAGAGCACCACCACCCTGCCTGCCTTTTACACATAGGTCTTGGGGGTTGAACTTGGGTCCCCATGCTTGTACAGCAAGCACTCTACCACTGAGCTATCTTCCCAGCCTCGAACATCTTTTTTCTAGTGAAATCAAGAATGTGATCTTTCAGAAAGCCCAACTGCCTCTGTTCTTGTGAGGTTTAATGTTGCTGGATTATAATTGCATTTTTAGAACTCTACTTGAAAATGTGTATTTATCTTAATATAAGGTCTCCCTGTGCAGCATAGACTGGATTGGAACTCCAAATTTCTTGCCTCAGTTTCCCTGGTGTTGGGGTTATAGGACTGTGCCACCACCCCTATCTCTAGAATTCTACTTTTGATGAGATTTTATTTTGATTGTTCCAAGGTGAGTGATATAGTTGCTCCCACAAGATGATAAAACTCAGAGAAGGTATTATTAAATTGGTAGTAATCTTTAGATCTCACAAGCTGGAAAACCCGAATGCCAGAGTTTGACTGTTTTGACTGCCGGGTCTTCCTTCGGGAGAGCTTCTTCCCAGAGGACAGCATGTAAACTGGTTTCCCTTTGCTTTGTGTTCAAGATCCAACAACCAGGAATTGGTGTGATCTCCGTGAGCAAAGGTGCAGAGATCGGGCTGGCCATGGCCTGCTATCTGAAGCAGGTGGTTGCCACTGTCTGCATCAATGGGCCTAGTGTCGTCTTAGACATTCCACTAAGGTATGGGGGTCTGGTTGTGACACCCATCCAACAGGCTCTGGAGCGAGCCCAAGTCCACACCTCAGGGGCTTTGTGCTTCCGTTCCTTTATAGGTGACCCCAGGATTAAACTGAACCCACAGAGTATACTTCCTGTGGAAAAAGCCCAAGGGTGGCTCCTCTTCATTGTAGGAGAGAATGATGAATGCCTGGATAGCAAGGCGTTTGCACAGAGAGCCATGGACCAGCTCCACAGCCATGGAAGAAGCAGCGGCAGAATGCTGGCATACCCCGGGGCAGGCCACCTCATAGAGCCGCCCTATTCTCCCTGTTGCTTTGCGTCTTGGCACTCAGGCTTGGCTAACCCCTTGCTTTGGGGAGGAGAGCCCACTGCTCACGCAGCAGCCCAGGAACACTCCTGGCAAGAGATCCGGAAGTTCTTCAAGCAACACCTCCCTCAGTCCAGAAGCAAACTCTAAGCAAAGGAAGTGACCATGCCCAGGTAGCAGGCAGGAAGTGGGTTAGAGAAGAGGCTGGAACTGGTGTGAGGATAATAGCATTATTTAGGAACTAGAGAGTAGGAGTGGGGGTGGGGTACAGAATTCTTCTGACTTCCTTACGTTCACATTTATTCCAATTCAATTGGAAGAAAAAGGGACAAGAGCACAGGACACACTTGAATCTGAGTGTTTCTGACAAATTTGTGTGTAGTTGGAAATTTTGTAAATTCAATTTTAGTTTATATATTTGAATAAATTGGTATTCAGAAATTATGGTATTCTTGTAAACTGATAAACACTGTTTATATATATTCAGTTAAGGATTCATTTGATCTAGGCATTTCCAATCTAAATGAAATCTCTAAAACTGCCGGCTTCTTTCTAGGAGTACACACTCTGTTTAAACTGTTTTAACTTGGATTTCTGATGCTTGACAAGAACATTCCAGTTCACTATCAAGTATAATGCTTGCTGTAGATGTCCAGTAGATAGCTTTTTTTTTTTTTTAAAAAAAAGTGGGATGTTTCTCTTTATTCTAGGTATATATTACTATTTTTAAAATCAGAAACACAATTAAATTGAATCAAGTGCCTTTGTGGCATTTGTTGATGCTGAGTGAGTTAATGTAAATGAGACTTTTAGAGCAGTGTCTGGCATATAGCTCCCACCTCATCTGAGTCACCTGTTCTGGTTTTCACAATGACTTCCTCTATGGTTTCACAACGCTTCCCTCTTGCGTTCGCCTGGTCTGATGAGCTAGCTCCTTGTCACTTCTGCCCGTTCATTTACGTTGAATAGATGGAACTCTTGCATTGACTAACAAGGATGCCCAAGTCTCTTTTGGAACCAATCTCATCCCTTATATTTCTGCAGAACTTCACTGTTTTTCAAGAATGTGTTTTCTTCATATTTTATTTTCACATAGACCCTGTTATTTATCTATTTTCTCTTTTCTCTCAGTCTGACTTACTGAAATATTTCCCCATCTTATCTTTTCAAATGGTGACTTTTGCTTCACTTACTGGTCAAATCTTTTAAAAATCACTTATTATGTTTTAAATCAAATCAATTAATGCGCCCGTCTTTCTGTTGTTTTTTTTTTTTTTTTGGTTGTTGTTGTTGTTTGTTAGTTTGTTACTGATATGTAGTGTTCTCTTTTTGTTTATTTCTGCTTTCTGTTCCTCTTTGACACAAAGGCAGTTTTACCCAAAGTACAAAATGCTGTAGTGTGGAAAGGGCAGGAGAAGGGGAATGTCACTTTGCCATGGAGGGATCAAATCGGCACTACCCAGACCCACCACTCACATTAGTCTGTAAAAAGGGACAGTTTGACATGGACTTCGTGGAAGGAGGTTATGGGTATCAACAATGCTACCAATAACATGTTGAACTTTGGTCTGGTCAAGCTTTTGATCATTTACTGGCATCGTGGCAGGAGAACAAGTTCACTGTCACCATGAGTAAACAAATCCTAACTGCAGGTTATCCTGTGAGTCAACTGCTAGCGCCTCGATGATTAATTGCATGGGCACCACTAAGTTAGTCTGTGAGAACTAAGTTTGGAACTAGAAGAGACTTTAAAAAATGCTCTGGAAGGCCCTGATCTGAACTGAGAGCCTGCAAAAATAAATTGGGAGATGGAGAAAAAGTTAAACTTTTATTTTTAATTGATAAGAGTGGCATATTAGTGCAATGTTTTGATGTATGTGTTAGACCATGGCCTGCCACTTTAAGACTGTTCATTCAAACCAACCAAGTCCTCAGCCTAGAAAAATGAGGCCCCGCCCACTGCCCCGCCCCACACTCTTTCCCTCCATCCTCCCCATCTCTGCAACAGATAGTTAAAAAGACTTTGCGGCCTCAGGCTGGACCACTGCACCTCCCCCTGCTCTTCCCCTACATCCCTCCTCTCTGTGACAGATAGTTAAGAAGGCTGTGGCCTCACAGTCCCTCACCCCCAAAGCTGCAAGAGAGGCTTATGGCTCTACTGCGTACTTAGCATATAGGCTATGTTGAAACATTGCGTGAATTAAATCACATGGAATAAGATTTCCCACCTGTCCTCCCAAACTTGTGAAAACCAGGCTATCTCTTTCATTTGGGGGACTTATATGGAGCCTTGTCCCTTGTCATGCTCTCCAGGGTATCTCTCTGTTAGTGTAAGCTGGCCCTCTTAGTGAAGTGCCTCTTAAGGCTTTAAAGAGAAGCAAGCCTCTCCCTTGCCCTCTCTGCTAATGTAGTTCATTTCTGAAGGGTAATTTTGTTTCAGCTCCTTTCATAAACCTGCCACTCCCTGAGTTCTGATAATATGTATATATTCAGGAATTTTTACACCAGGCTACGTTAACTATCACCTCACGTACTTATGATATTTTTGTACTGAATCTGTTCTTTTTGTGATTTTGATATACATTTATGTTATTATTAACTGCAGCCATTATGTTATTGAAAATATCTCAAAATTACTTTTATTGTCTAATTCATATACTTAAGTCATTATTTTTCCATTACTCCATAGAATAATTTGAATATGGCCCATGTCTTCCTAGAGTAATTTGAGTATAGATTAATATTAAATGGTATCAAGAAATGACACAAAGAAATTGTGATGACATTGTTACATGTGATAATGGTATGATAGTTATATAAAAAACTTTAGAGATTTATATTGAAGTATTCAATAGTGGCTAGCTTTGATATGTGGGTATTATTATAAAAATCAGGAATATTGTAAAAAGCAAAATTACAGCAAAAGGCTTTGGATGGTGTCTCAAGTAAGCTCTGTTAGAGTGTTCTTATTTGCCTTTATGTATGCCTGCAAATTTTTCATAATAAAGAGCTGAAAATTGTATTGATGCATTTGTTTTTCTGCCCCCAAAGCAAAATTATCTTCTCCATGACACTCCTTCACTTCCAGATTATTACTGTATTTTAACAGTCATTATTTAACCATAGCAATTTAGACACTTATTTGCCTATTTGAAAAAAAAATCTGGATCTTTGCAAAATCTGAAAATGTTTTTATTTCCATCTCTTTAATAGTAACTTTCATAGAATTAGAATTTGATGTTATCAACTATTTCTCCTCAGTTATTTAGTCTGTTTTAGTATTTCGTTTTACATGGAGAGCTCTCGAGGAAATGTGTCGCCCCTCCATCTTTCTGCCACTCTCACATGGTTTTAGTTGGCTTCCTGGGACGGCTGTACATGTAGTGTTGTGCCCTCGTCTCAAGACCCCAGAGCAAGACCACCACAGAGCTGCTATCTGATGCAAGCACAAAGGGGTTTACTACAAGCCCAGGCTTGGTCTGTGTCCAACACACTGGCTAGCCAGGTGAAGGATGACAGCCCTGAGCTCTTAGGGTGAGGGGTTTTTAAAGAGAAAAAACTGCAAGCAGCGTGGTACAAGCCTTGATGTCATATGATTGGGTAAGGGTGTGTAACCTTTGAATTTACTGGTTGGGGCTTATAGTTATCATCTTGGGGGCAGGTCTGGACAAGGCTCTGTCCTTGAGCTGCCATGGAGGCTGGCTGGCCTTGCACATTCACATTGACCCATGCATTGTAGCTCTAAGTTGGTGAGGGGTCCCAGGCAGTAATAACTGGCTGAACCTCGAGCAGTCAGAGTATGGGCAGAAAGGGAGATACTGCAAGGACTATGTCATAGCCCTCCCAGAAACTGCTTGCTCAAGACTCAGGAAACTGAAATTGAGGCCTAATCTCTGAGAGAAGACTGAGCAGCCTGTTATAGCGTCTGCTTGGTCCTTTCAGTAGCATGCGATAGATGTCAGTAGCATGCGATAGACCTTGAAGTGAGGAAGCCATGCTGAGCGCTGAGGAGCAGTCTTGAGAAGGTAAGCTTATTCTCCTGGTAGTTTCCCCACAGTGAGGAGCACTTGTGGGGTTTTCTGGACTTCCAGGGGAAGCTGCACTGATTGGAGCTGATGTCCTGGAAGTATATTCAAATCTGACTTGTTTTTGTTCGAAGATTTTCCACTCCCTACCTGGCTTCTGTGAGTCAGATTTGGAAAAGTGTTCTCCAGGGAGAAAATGTTACTGATAACTGCCATCTGTCATATCCAATGAGCCTCAGGCTCTTTTGAGTCCATCTCTTAGCAATTTTTTCATGTCCTTCAAAGCTGCCTTTTCTTTACGGTTATTGCTACCCTATTTCAAGTCATGGCATGTTGTTCAAGAAAGCAGCATCCCGGGGCTGGAGAGATGGCTCTGCAGTGAAGAGCTGCACTGCTCTTGCACAGGGCCAGGTTTGGTTCCCAGCACCCATGCCAGGTGTCTCAAAACCATAGGCACCTGCATTCACCTGCACATACTCCCACCCCCTACACACACATCGTTTGAAAATGAACCTCAGAAAGAAAGCAATGTCTCACTTGGTCATCACACCTCTACTTTCGACTCCTTTCAGCCATACTGTACACTGATGTAAAAGGACCCTTTAAGAACCTAAGTCTGAAAAATGTTTAAAGAAACCCAAGTCTGATGGTGACATTCTCCTGCTTACTGAAGGCTTCTTGTTACTTCAGGATGCATTTCAAAGTTTGTAACAATAAGAAGGCCTCCAAAATCTCCAACATGCTCTCTGGCATAACAGATGTTTTTTACACTTACTTGACAAATTCCATACCCACTGACCGTTTTTTAGTTCTTTGTGTTCTTTTGTAGATTCATTTATGAGCTTTTAAAATTATGTGTCTTCTGTGTGTCTGTGGGAACATTCCTATAAGTGCATGTCCCCTTGGAGGAGGGAGGCATCAGATCTCTCTGGAGCTGGAGTTACAAGTGATTTTCAGCCATCTCTCCAACCCCTTAATATTCTTTTCTGTATGTTTTCTATCTAATCATCCCTTATTTGTTTTAAGTAGCTCCATATATATGTCACTGCCTTATAACAGCCTTTTCTACTTTTCCGTTCATGCCCTATTTCCTCCATCCAAATTAGTTATCCCTTCAACCCACTTTATATTAAAGGCTTTGGGTTGTTGGAGAAGAGTTAAAGGGACATAGGTAGATAAGGGGAACGAAACTGGGCTGCCTGAGATGATGGTTTATTGTTCCTAAGACCTTGCAAGGAAAAATGGCAAGAAGACACATGAGTGGGTGTCCAAACAGAACCAACAGAGAAAAGAGGAGAACCCAGGGGTCTTATAAAATATTCAAGCCAACATCTTTCTTTTTATTGGACTCCCAGGTGTAGGGCCTTTGCAGTCCTAAAGGAACAAAGTGGTTACTTTTGCATTTCTCACATAGCTTGGTCTTCTATTTCCTGACGTTCTTTTCTTTGTCTAAGGAAAGGAGATTGGAAACGCCCGAGACTACTACCAGCACGAGTGTTACATGTGTCTTCCTTTCGCTCTCATTGACGCAGTCCCATGAAAGAAAGCAGCTGGTCTGCTTATTTTGTCACAGTTATTAGTACAAATCTGAGGACATAGTAGATGCTCACTAAATATGTCTGAAGGCACAGCTCAAAGCTGGCACAGCCTGGATCAAGAAGTAGGATGTGAGTAAACGTTGTGCTGTTCATTGTAAAATAGTCATGCAGTTAGGGAGTGGTAGAATAGTTTTATGCACAGGTTGAATTCACTAGGGCAAGAATAGTATTATCAGCATGGTGACTGTTGGGCTGGCCCAGATCTTTGGCCCAAGATGGAGTCACCAAGACATCAAGATGTGGGACCCATCCCCTTCAGGAAAATTGGAAACTGATCATTCTACACTTTTCAGAAGTCTGCTAACCCCTAGTTTCAGCAGAACAGCTTGACCACAGACTCCTGCTATCCTAATAGCCAGAGTGACCCCTCACCCCACACACCCATAAAATGTTGTTTACTGTAGTACCTTTTGCCTGTTAAAGTTCCCCTTTCCTCCTTAATTCTCTCCCACCACACTCCATTAGACTAAAAGCACCCTATTAAAACGCCTTTGAGACAGGGCTGATTTCTTTTCTCTTGGAAGCAGGTACTTGAAAGAAGCTTTGCTTTTCTGCTCTTGTGGTCTGGTTCTCTTGTTAATCCATACAGTGACCAGATCACGGGAAGTACACTGAGGACTTCCTTTATCTTTTAGGAAACTCCACTCAAGTAAAACCAGATGCCTGGCTTTGCCATGGGAAAGAATTTCAAGGTGAGCCACTATGAAGCAGAGTTGAAGGGTATTAAAAAAACTTAAAAAATTGTTTTACATTCTCTCTCTCTCTCTCTCTCTCTCTCTCTCTCTCTCTCTCTCTCTGCCTCCCTCTCTCTGTCTCTGTCTCTGTCTCTCTGTCTCTGTCTCTGTCTCTCTCTCTTTCTCTCTCTCTCTCTGTGTTTACCGGTGCAGATACACAAGTGTAAAGGTATCCTCTTGGGAATTAACTCTCTCCTTTTACCATGTGGGTTCCCAGCACTGAACTCAGATCATCAGGCTTGACAGCAAGCCTCTTCGCCCACAGATCCATCTCATCAGCTTTTAGAGGACATCTTAAACTAATAGAACAGGTTAATAGAAGAGAGGTACCTTGTAAATAAAACATACTTAAGATCATGGGTGTGTCACATTAAATGTCTTGTACAGTAGCTGTATATGCTAGCATTGGTGGCTTCTGAAGTTACTTCTCAAGGAGCTACTAAGACATCTTTTACAGTGAATGAGCTCATGGGGTGGTTCCACATATGTGGTGGGTGGGATTGTAGCTGATGAGGTAAAGCCCAAGGCCTCTATCCCTGAAGGGGAAGTTAAGATGCATTTACTGTAAACAAAGATTTAGTTTTGTTTTCTAGATTCTCAGGAAATATCTGGGGAAAATATAAGGCCAAATTTGGTCAAAGAACTTTAATGTTTTCTTTTGATGTGTTATTGTTGTTTTTAATCTTACTGTACTTCCTCATTATTACAGTATTAGTAGAATCCAGTTCTTGAAATAAACTTGGAGAACTGGATATTTGATGTGTCTGCCTTCAGGATATTACTTGTTATAGTTGGTAGTTATCTATAATTGGGAATGAAGTCAACTTTTCAAGGCATAATACCAATTATAGTTCTTACTAGTTCATTCCAATGGCACCTACACCCCTTTCTTTCAAGCGCATATTAAGAAAATTTGTGTTCTCCAAATACTGGAGCTACCAAGCCTTCCTGTCCATCACAGCCTAATGAAAAAAATCTTTAGAGCTCATCAATGTGACATTGACAGGTCATCACTGCTCAGGACAGATTCTTTGCCATTATTACTTCAGTATCTAAACATGTCAGTTTTTTTAGCTATTATAGGCCCCATTAAAAGTCCCCTTATTTACAAATAAGCCATAGTCTCTCTTCAGCCAAGTTGGGGAGAAGTCTGGCATCTATTTGTAGGGTAAACTTTAACAAAATGTTTTCTGTGTCAAGGCCTGTAATGGGCATGCTATCAAAGCATGAATGTCCATGAGGTCAAAAGTTTCATTGTTGTACAATATCAAAACACTTTATTAGTCTTGTTTCTTTCTAATCCTCTTCCATGATGAGTCTGTCTTTCTCAGGCATGTCTGACATCCACAAAAATAATAATAATAATAATAACAATAATAATAATAATAATTCACAACAGAATTCATGCTTCTCTTAGTCTATAGGTCACCACTTGCCCTGTTTGGACAGAGAGCTTTGTCCTGACCACTTGCCCTGTTTGGACAGAGAGCTTTGTCCTGGGCAAAGACATGCAAGAACTGAATCTCACATGTTAGATGGAGGATAAAGATCACTGTGAGGCCACTGGAGTAGCTTAAGTGTAAGTAGAGACACAACGAAGGTCATCATGGCATAATGCAAAGGGGTCAGACTAACTCAGAGACCCCAGCATGGAGTATAGAGAAACCCCTTAGTTCTGACTGATGTACAGTAGTATGTCATAGAGGACAGCCTGTCCTATAATCTGCTACAAACCCAGAGTCTGTAGCCACAGATTTTGAAATAACAAGTAATCTTCCCAGAATCAAACTGAAAAGAAAAGTGTAAAAGTAGTGTGGGCCATTTTATTGACTTGATTTTTCTTGAAAACACAGTTTGGCGAACAAATAGGCCTTTCAGTGTGATATGAAATGGATAACAAACTGTCAATTTTGCCCACCACCATTTTTTGATGTTTTAGGGAAAAAAATTTAAAAAGTATCTTTTTATTTCTTTTCTTCAAAAATCCTATATGTTTAGGTAAATAAAAGGAGCCATTCTGACACTGGATGACATTACAGTTAGTTTACAGGAAAGGAGAGAGCTCAGGATTGGCAAATGACTCTTTATCAGGATTTCTTTCCCTCCGTAGCATCCATGAACCATCTAAGTAGACATACCACCCCCGAAAGGGCTTAACTTGGTTCAGAGGCATCTTCATGAAACAGAAAGAATAGAAATAAGACCTAGGCAGAGCTGGAGCACAATATTGGGACTGATGTGTGTCCCAGTGCTTTACTTGAATAGATCTTCCCTGGGGTGGTTGCACTGAAAACAACAGATTGCATTATATATGAGGGGGCAGGGAGTTTAGCATTAGGATTAATAGAGCCTAGCTACTTGCTCTTTTCTCCAACTTCAGTCTGACCCTACTTAGAAGATGTATATGAATGTATGTAAGAGAGTTTAGGTGAACAGTCAAGGAATCAGGGCCAAGGAAAGTTTTAGCAGAGGTAACTTTTGTTCCTAAAAGAAGATTAAGTGTTTATTGAAAACTCCAAGGCAGGCTGAAGATTAAGGTATCAATAATCTAGGAATCCAGAAAGTACATTTGAATATCATAATAAATGAAGGCATTCTTTCATTTTATCCAAACACATATGCATGCACACACATGCATATCCATTCCCATTCACCCTCTCTCCCCATTCCCCTCTCCTCTCTCTCTGAATGATCTTTCTATCATGCCCCTATTCAGTTCATTCAATCTCAGCTCCCACGAACTGCAAAGCACAAACACTTGCGGGTCATTCTGTGGTTCTTCAAACATCACTGAGTGAAATATCAAAAAAAAGGACATGAGTCAGAATCCATTTTGTGATAACTTTTTTTCTTCTATTTAGAAAAAAAAATATGTACAAAAAAAGCTAAGAAGAGCTGACATGATGTGTCAAGAAAACATCTTGATAGATACAGATAGGAGGGACACATTATCACCATGCTAGAAAACGGGATGCAGTTGAAATCCAAGAACAGTTAGACACCCCCAAGTGAAGATGTTGCTCTGGGCTCTATGTTGTAGGTGCTCTGACATCCTTTCTGTAAAATAATACTGTGCAAACTGGAAAATATTCTTTTTCATAAAAAGTCCATACAATATGAATACAAAACTGTTGAGTTGGCAGGAAAGGCTGGTGCTAGCTGCTCTTTTGGATAGAAGGCTACAGTGTCACCTGCCTGCCCAAGGACAGAATTCCAGACTGACCTTGACTTCCCTAGGTGGGCGAGGCTATTATCTAAGAAAGAGTCATATAACCCCCACCACCACCACCAATATTGGCTTCTGTGTCGATAGTTAGGAAACTAGGAATCTTCACTAGTACACCACTGTCACTTTAACTTGGAATGCAATAAATTATTAACAGAACAGAACATGATGTTCTCTCCAAATATTTTTTCCCCCAAGACTGATTTTGAGATTTATGATTAACCACCATGGTCCTTCCCGTAACTCAAAAGTTTGACTCTTATTAAAATTGAAAACTTCTGGAGGAGGCAGCAACTGTGGTAATAAGGGTTAAAGTGGATCGTTCACTTTATCTGTGTCTATAAAACTGAGAAAAGATTTGTGTACAAATATCACAAAACAACATCAATCATTGAATAAATGTGATTCTTCAATGCACACTTGAACAAGAGGAAAATTTTGTTGGTTTTAAAATTCTGGCTTAAATATATTAAAGCTGACAAAAAAAAGAATCAGGGCAAGCTACATCACTTTTTAATACAAAAAATGTACAAAACATTAGCCTCTAACTAGATAAACATAATACTTGTATTCACAGTTTCACTGAAGTCACTGTGTGTTTTGAAGTATTGAACTGGAAGGTTGTTGGGAAAAAAAAGAAAGAAACCAATACAGCTGCATCTCTTCATTCATCTCAGGTGACTTCGGTCATGGAGGCTGAGTGGTTCTGCAGAGCAAGCAATAGGCAGGATCTTAGAGCTGGGCTGATTGACTTCTACACACTCTCATCCATTCCCGAAATGCTTTCAGACTAAAGCTCACTGATCTTTTATTTTTTTTAATTTTTAGTATTTAAAATTTTTCATAATTATTTTGATCATATTTTCCCTTCCCCTCAATTCCTCCCAGATCCTTCCCCTCTCTACCCACTCAACTTCATGTTATCTCTCAAACAAATAATGACACCCCCTAGACAATAAAAAAACACCAAACTGTTATTTCCCTTAGTGTATTATTCCAAGACCCCTCAGCTCCTGTTACCTCTTCCTTCAGCATTTCCAACCAAAGTAGAATCATTTCTTCATAGAAACACTTCCTTACGGTTTTAACGTATTTATAGATTTCAAAGTAACAGCTATATTCCACCTTTAAAATGTTTCAAATTCTGAATACCAACTAAAATTTCCCATATGACCTATTCTTTGTGTTATGAGTTTTGAGTTATGAGTTCTGTGGAACTAAAATTAACATTTTCCAGTAGAGAGAGGGGTTTTCATTGGACTTTAGCTAACTTATAAAGAATGTGATCTGTCTGATGCAGGGCCATTAAAAATCTCTTTTTTTGCTATTTTTAAATTAAATTTTATTTATGTGTGTGTCCCTGTGCATACAAATGTGTGACCACACACATGTGGAAGTCAGAGGACAGCTTGTAGGGAATAGCTTTCTGCTTCCACCACATGGGTCCAGGAACTCAGTTCACCAGGTTTGGCAACAGCCATCCCAGGTTTGGCAACAGCTATCTTTACCTCCAAGCCATCTCACTGACTAAAATTTCTTAAGACTTGCTTCCTGATGTTGTACATGATTTTTTTTTGCTGGGGGGGGGGCGGGGGCTTTTGAGACAGGGTTTCTCTACATAGTTTTGGTGCCTGTCCTGGATCTCACTCTGTAGACCAGGCTGGCCTCGAACTCACAGAGATCCGCCTGCCTCTGCCTCCCGAGTGCTGGGATTAAAGGCGTGCGCCACCACCGCCTGGCATCTTGTACATGGTTATCTTATATATTTATATGAAAATATTTTATGTGTCTTGGAGAAAATTTTATGTATAATGTAAATGAATATTATTAGACATCTATATCCTTATTGTATTCTGTTGCTGAAATGTGTTATAAGTATACTACTTCAGATGTGTGTATTTTTCCCTGTAACTCTGTCACATTTTGTTTACAAAACTTGCTAATGTGGTTTTCAAAGTCTTGTCATTTGTTTAAACTTAAAATCCCACGCTATGGGCCTATGAAATTGGTAAATACTTCAGGAAATTATGGTTTTCATCTCATTATTAGAGGATTTTTTGGTCATTGTTTTAGAACACTGGAAACGTATTCTTGGGAGATCAGTGGTACATTTTAAAGATTTATTTATTTATTTATTTATTTATTTATTTTGGTTTTTTGAGACAGGGTTTCTCTGTGTAGCTTTGCACCTTTCCTGGATCTCACTCTGAAGACCAGGCTGGCCTCAAACAAAGATCTGCCTGCCTCTGTCTCCCAAGTGCTGGGCCACCACCGCCTGGCTTATTTTATTTTTACATCTGTTTATCAGGAGGTCAGAAAAAGGCATTGGGTCCCTTGGAGCTGCAGTTTTGAGGGCTATGGAGACCCAGCTCATAATTCCATAACCAGATCAGGCTATTGTGAACTACCAGACTTGGGCTCCGGGAACATAATTCTGGTCCTCTGCAAGAACAGTAAGTGCTTGAAATTGCTGAGTCAGCTCTCTAGCCCCTGAGCAATATATTTTAAAAGCTGGGGATCTTGTGTTTTTCAAGTTGTGCTAACTGAACTTTGATGGATTTATTTCTACAAGATGAAAAAATAACTTTCTTTTGTTTTGCCTGCATTTCTGTATGGCATACCAAATGTATGCAGTGCCTGCAGAGATCAGAAGGGAGTGTTGGAGCCCCTGAAACTGGAGGTACAGGTGGTTATAGCTGACCATGTGGGTGCTGGGAACCAAGCCCGGTTCCTATGCAAGAGCAGTGAGTGATCTTAACCAGGAAGCTACCATCTCAGTACAGATTTTACTTAATAATCTACTTTCTTGTTCTTGTCAATGCTTGGGTAGTCTATGTGTTTATATAATACTATGTAATACTAAGTAATAAAGATGAAGTCATTCAGTATCTTAAGATAATTAGATAGTTGACTTTGACACTGTTTTTTTTCTATGTATGATATAAAATTTGTGTTAGTACTAATTCTGAATCAGAGGTACATTAGAATTCCCTGGGAACATTTTCTCACTCTGCATGTGCTGAATTAAAATCTTGTGTGTGTGTGTGTGTGTGTGTGTGTGTGTGTGTGTGTGTGTGTGTGTGTGTGTGTGTTGGGGTGGGGGTGAGGGTCGGGGAGTCCAGGCATCTGTAGTCTCGTTACCAATTGGATTTTTCTTTTTTGTATTAATTAAAGAAAACCATCCTTCTCCTCATAAATAGAAGACATAGGGAGACTGCCACATCCAGAGAGAGTTAACCAGTTGCTTCATTTCTAATTTAATTTCTTTGTTAGGGTGAATATGGGCATTCAGTTGCAGAGCATGGGAAGCTGAGAGCTGGTCTTTTGGGGATCTTTTAGTAATGCTATAGGCTCATACAATGATGGTTGAAAAGCTTGATTTACTTTTTTTTTTCTACTGAGCCCTGTCTTAATCCATAATATCAGCAGCAAATGTAGTGTGAAGACATCAAACATGGTTTTTAAGGAGGAGGGCTCCACGAGGCAAAGGAACAAGTGTTCCAGGGGGAGGGAAAGGAGACGTCACATTCCGAACCACAGACAGCTGTTTCTCCTGAGATTCTGAAGGACAGGTGGATTCCACATGTGTAAGTGTGTGCTCTAAAGGGCAGTTCTGGTCTTTCAAATCTCCAGTTCCTCCCTTGGAAGATGGTTCCAGTCACCCAATCTCAAAGCAGCAGCTTCTACTGTAAACTCTGGCCTCAGGTGTTGTACAGGAGGCTTTTACCCAGAGAGAACATGGAAGACACTTATTTGGGAGGAATAGTTCAGGTTGAGCATACGATTCCTGCAGCATCTTTTCATACACAAGCCTGAGAGAGGTAGATTTTAAAAAAGGTTTGTGTGAATGAAATATGAGGCGGTATGCCACAGTAGGACACACAGGACCCTTAGAGATAGATGGATCTGTGTTTCATTTTGATAAAGCAATCTTGAGAATGTTACTTAAGCATATCTTGCTTTCCAAAATAGAGTAATGATTACTGCAGGGGTACTGTGAGATCAAGAGAAAAGGACCCACTTCTTTTTTTTTTTTTTTGAAAACAGCTAAGGGGTATTATCTTTCTATCTCTGTGGAAACATTTTCTAGTAAAAGCAACGCTTGCCTTCTCCAATTTCCCACCCTTGGTATGGACTATGCCTCAGGGTTTCCCACAGCTTCCTGAAGCCTGTTCTTCCTCACCTGCAGAAGTTCTGCTCTTGTTTCTCTCATGTCTGTATTTGTCATAGAAATAGTGGTAACAGAGATAGTGACTCTTGTCTGACTTGAGCTTGTCAGCTTTTGACTGAGGGATCTAGTTGAGGTTTTGGCTCTGGCTTGCTTCCATCCATCCAGCATTTGTATTACACTCAGTAAATGTCAGGAAACAAGGCACAGAGGATGTGGATCATAGAGTCTAGATCCTTAAAGGTTCCCAATTCTATGAGGCACATAAATAGGGAACACTATCTAATTGTAAGGGGCAATCATATGATCAACACAGAAGGACCTTCTGCCCAAACTTGATATTCAGGAAGCCTCAGATCCTATCTAGACAAGGAGGTACATACATGGACACATAGATAGAGGCAGCCACGGAAGAAGTTCAGCTCCAACATGTAGTGCACAAGGAGTTCATTTATAATCTCATTCATATTCTTGATGTAGATACTCAAGTATCCTTTATCTCTATGGAGAAGAATCATATCTGAAAGGGTTTGGTACCTCACTTTTCAGTGTGAAACCTTCAGACCATGTCCTAGGAATTTGTTGTTCTAGTCAACTATGAATAGTCTTGAAGGAGAAGAGAAAAGCCACAGACAGAAGCTAATGCCTGACTGGTGTGGGCAGATGGATGATATTATTCTTAGACCAGCATATGCAGAGGACACTAGGCATACTTAGACTGATACATCTGTGCAACCAGGCAAATATTTCTTTTGAAATTTATTTTTTTTATGTGTATGAGTATTTGTCTGCATGTTTGTTTATGCACCAAGTACATGCCTGTGGAGGTCTGAAGAAAGCATTGAATACTTTCCCCATATGTTAATTTCTAATTAGACTATTAAAATGGGAGATAAGGAAATAGAAGCTGAATATAATTGGTGCTGGGATTAATGGTGAAACTACATAATTTATCAAAATGGCAAGAGTCTCAGTGCTTTGCCCCCTGGTTCACTAATAAAATTAGACTTCATTAAAGGCCAAAAGACATATAAGAGCTTGTGACAGTCAATACCTAAATAGTGAGAAATATCTAATAATTCTAACAGGAAGTGCAATCATTAATGAACATTAATGTTCATCTTGAAATATAAGGGATAGGATTGCACTTCCTGTTAGAATTATGAACAGAATATTATAGAAAACGTGCCAGGTGGTGGTGGCGGCGGCGCACGCCTTTAATCCCAGCACTAGGGAGGCAGAGGCAGGCAGATCTCTGTGAGTTCGAGCCTGGCCTGGTCTCCAAAGCAAGTTCCAGGAAAGGCACAAAGCTACACAGAGAAACCCTGTCTCGAAAAGCCAAAAAAAGAAAAAAAGAAAATGTTTCACTTAGTAGGATTCCAGATGCCTGAAAAGAGGAGTGTTTGAATGAAACCTTTTTAAAAAGTCTTCTAAAAAGATGCTATTCTTATCTCCACTTCTCCACCTCCTAGCTGGGTGGCCTGGGGTAAGTAGTTTAGCAGTGCTGACCTCAATATTTAAATTCTTTTTTTTTTTTTTTTTTTTTTGGTTTTTCGAGACAGGGTTTCTCTGTGTAGCTTTGCGCCTTTCCTGGAACTCACTTGGTAGCCCAGGCTGGCCTCGAACTCACAGAGATCCGCCTGCCTCTGCCTCCCGAGTGCTGGGATTAAAGGCGTGCGCCACCACCGCCCGGCTCAATATTTAAATTCTTATCAAGAAAATGGGCATTGATAAATGTCTGTTCTACATGGTGGTTGTTCATGTAAGAATATCTTTTGATGCTACCACACTGTCCTAGGCAAAGGCCCGAGTGCTCTATGTGTAGGCCCCTTTAACGGCCCTTTCTGTGGCTTTCCTTGTCTGCTCAGAACAGCCATTTATCTGAAGTTGTTTTCACATGGGGCACCTCATTCAGCACAGCACGTTGTGACAGCTTTATTTCTGCTTCCCCATCACCAGAGTTCTGGAGAGCTAAGGCTGTGTGTCTAATTACTGTTTTGACCTCATGCATGGATGAAGGGCATATTGTAGAACACCTAACCAAAAAGTGTTATTGTGCTGAACTTGTGATTACTGTCAGGACAGATCCTGTACCTCCAGCTTGAGTCACTAGTCACTAGATGGAACAAAATCTTTGTCCTTCCAAACTCAGTCGCCCTTCCATTTATCCATGGGTTCTGCAGACATTCATTTGTGCAATCACAGATGAAAAGTGTCTAGGAAACTGAATATGTCCAACAATGTTTCTGTGTCAGCATTCCCTCATCGGTCCTGTTTAACAACTATGTAGTTAGTGCCTGCATTGTCATACTACATTAGGAACTTGTGAACCTTGGGATTTTGTATTCCCTGGAAGTTTGGACCCCTACTCCCTCAGGACACAATGGGAAATGGAACTGCACGAGAAACAAGTCAGTTGTTAGTCAAACTGGCTTCTCATATGAATAGCTCAAATTTCATGAAGGTTGAATGTACATTGGAGGCCAATGTACACTAAAGCTGCTTGGGTTTAATTTGAACAACACTTGTACCTCCTCAGGGTTAAATAAATAACCTACCAAGGTCATGGTTTTGCTTGCTAAAGTCACTTTACTATACCTGTGCACTTAAGGTTTCCAGAGGGCTTTCTATCCTTGGGAAAGCCATCAAAGGAACTCCACGGGGATCCTCGGGTTTGGGTTTGGAAGGAGAGCCTTGTGTTCCTTTAAAGTTATGAACCACACACATTCCCTGCAAGAAGGGGAAGAACAGAGATTGGGGTCAGACTCCAGTGGGAAGTTATGAACCACCACATTACCTGTGGGATGAGCAGGGACAGAGAGTGTCTGGTCGTCTCTGAGTGTGGCAGACCACTGTTCTTGAATATCATCATGAAGGTGACATATTTCCTTGGAATTATGGGAGACCAAGAGTGAAGGAGGCTTGAAGTGTGTGCTGAGCACACTGCATGTACCAGTAAGGCAAATTCACCAGGTGGCTGGGGACAGCTAGTCCATTCCACAGAACTCAACTCTTCAGCTGTCAAATGGGAATGGGAATACTTACCAAATAGATTTGTGAGAGTATGACAAATGTAAGTCACCTCATAATCACAGCAAATATGTGCTGAGGGTTGCTGTGTGTGTCTGGCAGTATCCTGGGGGTGGGGTGTGTTGTGTCTCATTTTTGTTAATCCAGCCAAAAATTTCCAACAGTAAGAAGTGAGTGCTATTAGTCTCTCCAGCTTGGACAGGCAAAGTTGAAATTTGTCAAAATCTGGTCACTTTATTATTTTTGTCTCTTGACACAGCAAGTACCCAGCTCATATTTCCTGATGTCTAAAATGATCATAGTCAAATTATGTCATTATTATGTACTTGGCTTGAATGACTCACCAGCAATTTCTATCTATCTATCTATCTCTCTATCTCTCTATCTCTCTATCTATCTATCTATCTATCTATCTATCTATCTATCTATCTATCTATCTACCTACGATTGCCTACTTTTCTTATTTCCTACCTGAGTCCTAAGTTTTTACCATTTGCTCTGCCCATGCTGAATTTACCTTCCTCTTTCTATAATTTCCCTTGTTATTCTGCACCTCTGTTTATATGTCTAGTGTTGTCTTTCCTGTAATTTTTCAAACCATACAGAACATTTACACAAATATTTTTACCTGTCTCGCCTCCACTTCACACTGCAGCTATGCTTAAAACTTTGGCCACTTAGGAAATGGTAGAGGATGAAGGTATCAGAACATTATATATTTTGAGGCTCAATTTCCCGAACAATAAAGTGAAGATAAAATATTGCTAGGGGTGCTCTAAGAACTCACAATGTGAGGCATTTGTAGTGTTGGACATGCAGTAATTGCTCAACTAACATTTTCCTTCCTCTTTCCCCTCATGGAAAACAAACATCTACAGTAGCACTGAAGGTGAACAAGGATTATGTTGACATTCTTGGGTTCTGCTTCTCTCGGTCTCCTCTCCAGATCTTTGTTCTGGTTATTTCCACTTGCCCTCTGACTTCACTCTCCTTGCTGTCCCCAGCTTGATGTGTGTCTCTGAGGTGTGGAGATGGGCATGCAAGTGAGCAGACCACAGTTCAATGGCAGAGCTGGATTTTTAAGTAAAAACTGTCATATGAAAGCAAAGTGGATGACGATTAAACCACTGGAAGCAATGACAGACGAAACAGTAACTAAGGGGTCGGGAAGAAATTGCAAATGGCTAAGAGAAAACAAGCCTAACCTCAAAGCAGACTCTGTACATGGCACCCACATGCTTTCATGGATACCATCTCTCACAGACTCCATACAACTGTGTGGGCAGTCTACACAACCACTTCTTAGCTGGCGATAGTGCACTCCAGTGATGCTGGGTGTCAAGACTGACTTTTCTTCTGAGCCCATCTTTGCTCATGTACCAGTGAACTCCCTTGGAAAACACTCCATTCTCTTGGGGTCACATGCAATTCATGCGTTCTTTCAAAAACCTTTCCCAGGGAATCTCTCTAAGGAGATACCAGTGTCATGGGAGTATTCCAGTGCTTTCTCTGTGACTTTACCCAGAGAATCTGTCCTCCAACCTCTTTTCTTCCATTAGAAAAAGAAAGCTGGGTGCTGATGGAGGGAACACTGAGTGACAACAGTTTCATGGATAGTGTTCTATAGAAACGTGCGAGCATTTCCAGAAAAACAGCTGGTCAACTGAGACAGAGGCTGGGATAGTCATATGTGCATTTTTAAAAACATTGACAGCAGAAATGAAAAAGAGGGTTAAGTCAAAGGAGTGTATGAATATAAAATGAGTGTATGTGTGACACTAGTCTTAAAGGGGCTTACTACAAGGGACAGAATAGAATGGGTGGCAGGTCCATTGAGATTTTAGTGACCTTTTCTCCTTGGGTAGGGTCTTTCTATTGACAGTGGCTTTGTTTTATGCAGAGTATGAGAGTTTACATGCCTGATGACTTACTGTTAAAACAAACAACCAAGGAACAGAATTGCACCTCTCTGGTATGTCCAGAAAACATAATATTATAGAGCAATAAAAAGAAATGAATTATTGTTACATTCTACAATGTGAATGTGTCTCCAAATATAAATGATAATGGAAATAAAATGTCAGAAAATCCACATTATGTGGTTTCATTTACATGAAATCCAAATGTAGATAAACAAATTGAACTTCAATAGTTCCCTAGGTGAAGGGGAAGGAAGAAAAAGCAAGAGAGATGTCCAGTTCATCAAATCAGACAGTGTGTACCACCATATCCCCACCACACTTCAGCAGAACTGGATCAAACAAGATCAAAATGAGCACAGATTCTTCTTTTCCAGTCCAAGTCAGATTAAGGGATTTCCCAGAAGAGCCAGGTCTCCATCTCTTTGAAGACCTAAAGCATCCTCAGAGCTGTGAAGATACGGAGGCAGCTATGGTTGCCAAAAATTCTTCAGGGAGGTCAAATGTAGATGCCACTTAGTTGAAACAAGACGCTAAGAGGCCTGTCTGTCAAAGGCAAGGGATTGGCTGCAGGGTTTCCACGGTTTTGAGAGGGTCCGCGCATGTACACTAAGACAGTTCTTGGGTCTAGGTGCAGGCTTTTGTTTTGTTTTGCGGTGCTGTAGGGAGAGCCTGCTCCACTAGCGGCCGTTGTCCGCTGTGCTTTGCCTAGAAACATGTAGCTCCTGAGCCCCAGATGCTGGCGGTAAAACACTCATTTGAAGGTGTACCGTGTCGTTACTCTTGCTGAGAAAGCTGAGAGCTTGAAGACAAAACATAGCCCCCTTTCTTTCTTTGACTCTCTCAAGAAACATGGCCCGTCATATTTCTCAAAGTAAGGTACTCTGATTCTGCTCTGGCAGAAACAGCATGTATATTCTCTGGACAATTGCGGCTCAGAAAACAGGGATACAAGGGACAATGACTCAGACTGGAATCTGGGAAACTCGATGCACTGTGACTTGACACGGAAGCGGTAAAGGGAATTAAGTGGAGAGAAGGAGCCCGACCTACCAGGAAGAGGGCTACTGCGGTGCCCAGGATGAAGCCAGCGATCACATCCGAACAGTGGTTCCGGTACTCTGAGACCCGGTTGAGGCCTGTCAGGAAGGCTGTACAGAGGGTCCCCAAACACAGCACTGGCTTGGCCAGTCGACTGCTCTTCGTCTTGATTGTGCTTGTGATGTACATCTGCGGTGGGAGAGAGACCAGTGAGTTTCAGGCAGTCTTTGAACTGATGCATCTGCATGGATGCACTCATGTCCCGGGTCAGAACCATGGGCTTTGACAAAGGGAACCATAGCAACTCTATTTCCTTGGACGCCTTCATTAAGTTAGTTCGTTAGACAGTGCAGCAATGACAATGATCATGTGTCCGTTAGTCACTGTGCACCGGAATAAGTTTGTGAATAGAAGCTATATTGACAGAAGGAACAACTGAAGATTAACGGCAGGATTCAGAACACACAGTTTTTATGTAAAGAACCAGAGAATCATGTGGTGCTATTAAAAAAAAAAACCAATATAAAAACCTTGGGTACCAATTAAACCTTTTATTTGAATGAGTTTGTGGCAGAGGGTGTCAGGTAGGTGATTCACATTTTACTTTTTGCTGTCCCCCACAATACTAGTGGTGCCTGCACACTTTGGGACCATGATATAAAACTGTTCACTGACTGACTGATGGACTTAATTTGAATGGTCCATTCCTGACTATGGGTCACTGCTTTGCTGTAAGTTGATTCTCAAACAGGAACAACTATGGTCTGCTCTACCCATTTGTCTACTTCAGAGTGTTTTAAAACACTAAAATTTTCTGTGTGCCACAATATATGAAAGAGTGATGGATCTGAACCAAATAAAAGATGCTGTGCTCGCTGACTTGAAATGTGGGCCGTTGTTATCAAATGCATTCCTGATGGTCCAGAGTTAAAATGTGCTTCCAGCAAATCACATTACTTTGGTAGTTGCTATATCCCACCAGCAGAGGACACTAGTGACCCACCATTCCTTCTCTTTCCTTTTGGATGGACTTCTGTAAGCCCTGGCCTTAATCTTACTACAATCATTTTGCCTCAAAATCCCATGTGGGTTCTGGAACTACAGACTTGTCTCATCATTTCTTATCAAATATGGTGAATGCAGTGACCTTAAAAAGGCATAAGAAAAGGCTGATATTTAATATTTTAATCTATAGACTGTTTGATATCCTGTGCACAAGCACATTCACATAGATACCTCTGGCAATATTACATGAGAAGTTAATTTCTGAGGAGAGGCTTTAACACTGGCATGAATCCTGGAGGGTTACAAGAGGCTCTTTAGCCTGTGTAGCAGGTGCCGCATAGAACTCCAGTAGATCAAAGCCACACAGATTGTAACACACTGTAGTATTCTGACACTGTGGGAATCGTTACTTAAAATGCTGAATGCAAGTACATATGTTCAATTTTGTTTTTTGTATGTATCTATATTGTTTTCTAGGTATGTCTTTTGTGAATCTTTCCTGTAAAAATAATAACCATTAAGAACATAGACCCCTGGTTGATATCCTTTACAATATTAACTGGCACCTAGGAAGTAACTGTTGAATAATGTTTTCATTAGCGTTTTCTTTTTATTTGGCACATAATAATAGCAGATATTTATGTGCACTGTGTAGTGTTTCAATACCTCTATGGACCACACAATGATCAAGTCCTGGCAATTAGCATATACATCAGTCTTGAATAATCCTGAAAGCATAACTTAATGCACAACAGAAAATGTTTACTCAGTTGGAACGTTGTAGCCAGGTTTATCTAATTGAGTATCAGGCCTGATTTGAATAGGTTGATATCTGAATCTTCAGATGATGCTTGCAAGGTATGCTGTGTGCAGCCGCCATATTTGATTCTTTCTGCTGCCACGGGTGTTTCGGTCTCATTTGATGATGACACACTGGTTTAAATTACTGATTTATTTGTATAACGGCATTATCAAAATTAATTTCACACAGTAGTGACTTGAGTCTGATAAAAATAAAAAAATGTGGGGTGGGGCGCAAAAGCACATGGCTTTATACAAATGATGCTCTAGGCAATTTAGGAACAAATCAATATTCTGAAAATTAGAAAACACACTAAATGCCCCCAGAGGATTCCTGGCCTATATTCCCTCTTTGTTTTGTAAAGAAAAAAAGAAGTCTAACCAGGTAACAACTGATTTGTGCTCTCTGTGTTTCCACTTCCTTAAGGTGGGGGCAGCTGGGTTTATTTTGTCGTGTAGTCATTATAGAGAAGATCCCAAAGGATTAACTAGGAAACTTCTGATGGCTAGGCAGGATGGTCAGGAGCACCAGAGGTGAGCTGTGGTAAGATTCAGCAGCAATACCTGTTCCAAGTTGTGAGGAAGAGAGTATTCACTCAACAGTTTGAGAATCTGCGGGGTGGCCCAGATTTAGAGTGTGGTTCCAGAACAGTGCATTATTCTCACATCTGCCTGCACATCTGCAGGCGGGGCCCAGGTGATGACAGGACTGGACTCAGCAGCCTAGAGGCACAATGTGCCTCCCACAGGGGTTGGGTGCAGAATGGGATGCTGCCCTCTGCAGATAGGGCTGAGGGAGTAAGATGAGGGTACCCCAGAATATCTGAGTGGTTTGAAAGGAGACAGATCTGTCTTCCTTCTCCATGCTTCATTGGGACTCCCGAAGGGGTCCTTCTCACCAATGGCTACTTCCACTGGTAAAATGCACCAGGGACCTGTGGTATTGGCTTGTGTGTGTGTTCAGGCTGTCAGTCGTGCTTCTGAGTTCTGAGTTCAAAGGAAGCTAGATCAGAAAAAGACGAAATATGACATTTCCAATATGGACTTTAGTTACAATGTAGAAAAATAAGAAAATACCATTGCTTTTCCTCTGATGAGAGCAAAATAAATAAATAAACAAACAACTAATTCTTAATTAATGACAATATGAATAATTGCAATAATTAATATCATTATTAATAGTATTAATAATGCCCAATAATTATCATTGGTAATTTAAATTATGTCCTGCTAGGTCATAATGCCCTAGACAATCAAAGGTGGTGCGATATGGGGAGAAATGAGAAGTGAAGTTTGGGGTCTTAAATTCTAGAATTATCCAGCTCTTAACAAAGCAATAAAGAGTGTTGCAAGAAGCACAGGATATATATGTTTAATCCTAGCCTGCACACTGTGAGGCCAATCACATACTGGAGTCCACACTTGAAAACCTACAGGTAGGCACAAGGAAGGTATGCTGCTATGGAATCAAATAAAACTGTGGTAGTGGTGAGAAAATCCCAGACAGTGCCAGGAGCTTGGCCACAGATCAGATTGTGTGTTCTTAGGTATTCATGAGGCCTTAGTTTTCCCACCTGTAAACTGGGAGGGTGTAAGTGGGGGATTATCAAATTTCTCTTCAAGCTAAGTCCTCTGGACATTTAGGATGAGGAGTGGTTCAGGAGGAAGGTTATTTTATCAATGGTGTGATACGATGTGAGAGAGACATATTTTCTATGACTTAAAAAATCATATAACAGGGATGATAGAATGGTGGTGGGAAAGGTGAGAGACACATCGCAGCAAAATCTCAACTTGGGGAGACAGGCTCACGTACTCACCGTGGCGTATAAGGCGGAGTAAATGCTCAGAGCAGCATGTTTGGAGGGGAAGGACCTCCGAGCCTGTTCAATCACTTCCAGGTCCCCAGTGCAGATGTTACCATTGTTGATGAACTGGTGGTGTGCCCGGCAGTCTGTACTAGTATAGTTTGGCTGGCACACTGTCAGGAAGTATGGTGTTAGGTGACCAGTGACCACTTGCCCGGCGTTTACAAAAATGTCAGTAGCAAAAAGTCCAAATGCAAATACCCCTATAAGGAGATTTGAAAGAAATCAGAGTGGTGACATGCACTGTTAGTCGGTTTTTGCCCCAGAGAAGAAGCAGTTGGGAGAGTCCATGATGACACCTTCAAAAAGATTTTAAAAGTCAAATTGTCCATTCACTTTTATCATTCTAGGATGTGATCCCTGCCTCCTAAATGATCGTTTCTTCCAAATCTTGGCTGGTGGTCTACTGTTGGCATTTTATTGCTTTGTGTGAATGCTTTAGCTTAAGCAACATAGTCTCAGTGTGAGGAGCTGGAAGCTTGGGTTTTATGACCTATGCTCCAGCTTTGGTGGCCAGTTCACGTGAGCAGTGCAACTTCTTTGACCCTCAGTGTCCTTGGCTGAGAGAACTAGAGATGGGGTCATTTGGGAAGATGGCGTACATACAAAAGACCCAGCATGGTGTCTGGTTTCTGTTTTGCTTTTAAGACAAGATCTCATGTTGCCCAGAATGGTCTCAAACTCCCTATGTAGCCCAGGATGATCTTAAAACTCCTGACATTCCTGCGGCCACCTCTTAAGTAGTGGGGTTATGGGAGTGTGCCAGCCTACCTGGTTTATGCAGTGCTGGGAACTGAACCTGGGTCTTTGTGCATGTTACACAAGCACTCTACCACCTGAGCTGCCTCTCCGGCCTCATGGTATCTTAAGTAGTTCTTCCTTCTATAGGGAATTTATTCATTCTATTTTTATCTAGAAATGCAAAGAGCAGTCATCTATAATATCAAGGTTATAAGTGAGAATGAATAATGATTTTACAGAGTTTCCCCCCAAAGAGAAAATGTTTAAAAAATGTTGCTGCATTGTTTTATTTGATGTGGGAAATAATAAGTGAGAAAACAGAAAAGAGATTAAGGTTGAGTGTTGCCAACAGTATTAGTTTCTTAATGCTGCTAAAACAAACTGCCACAAGCAGCCTGGCTTAAAGTAGTGTAAATCTATGTCTTCACCAAGTTCTGCAAGCTGGAAGTTCAAAGTAGGTTTTTCCAGGGGAAACTTTCTTTGGAAAGTCCAGGCTAGAACTCATTCCTTATCTTTTCCAGCACTTAGGAGTCTCCTCCTTTCTGGCATTCACCTTATTATTCCATTGCTCCACAGACTCGGACTTTCTCGCCTGTCTCATAAAAACACTTTGGATTGCACTTAAGTCACCTGAATAGACCATGGTAGCCCCTGATGATTAGTATAAGCATACCTTCAGATCCCTTTTTTTCACATAAAGTAACAAGTTCACTGTTTCCAGGGACATCTTTTGGTGTGTGTGTGTGTGTGTGTGTGTGTGTGTGTGTGTGTGTGTGTATGTGTGCATTCTTGTTTATGTGTGTTTGTGTGTGTGCACGTGTGAACACAGGTATGTGCATGTGTGCTTGTATATATGTATGTATGTATGTGTGTGCCTGTGTGTTTATTCTGACTATTTTTTAGCTGGGAAGCTTGGTGCATACACTACCTCTAGATTTTTATTCTGCTCTCTGGTAAATTCCACAGCTTTAACCTCAAGAAACTTGACCATTGATAAATAGGATCTTTTTTGTTATTGTTAAAAGCATTTTTTAACTGATATGAAAGCATATGATTACACATACTTGTGGGGCACCCTGTGATATTTGGACACATGTATACACTGAGGAACATTTAAATCATCTGTATCATGACTTAAGTCACCAAAGCATCATTTGTGTTTTTCCTCAAACATTTGTCACTCCTGCTGAAAACAATCAAACTCCCCTTTCCCAGCATTTGGAAATCTATAGTATATTGTCAGTATTGATAGTTATTGGGTGGAGAGATGGCCCGGTGGTTAGAGGAGCACTGGCTGCTCTTGCAGAGGATCTGAGTTCAGTTCCCAGCACCCACATAGTGGCTCACAACCATCTGCAACTCCAGCTCCAGGGCATCTGACGCCTCCTTCTGACCTCCTGAGCACTGCATGGATGTAGTGCATTAACATATACACAGGAAAACACACTAACAAATGAAATAAGTCTTTGAAAAGTTGATACTTACTGTATTGCCATAGCTACTTTTATCTTTAGTACTCATTAAGCAGCCTTTCTCCATCTCTCCCTCCACTGCTATTCAGCTTTGCTGAAATCATATTTTTGGATTCCATACATGAGTTGAGTCTCTATAGTGCTTAGTCTGTCTGTGGCTCTTTACGGTTTCATTTTGACCTGTATTGATTACTATAATTTTCCTTCCTGTGGCTTTGCGAGACTTTTACCACAATGAGAACTGGCGTCTTTAATAGCTGCAGCCGCCTCACACTTAGGGGCTCTGATCTGGGAGAGCAGACATCCATTGATCATGCCCTGGCAGTTTTCACCCCCAGGCTCTAAACACAGAGAGGCTGGAAATTTCTTACATCTTCAAGTAAGGTTCTTAAAGATCAGGTCTGTGGCTGGTTCAAGGGGTAATAACTCTGTCTGGACAATCTTTTCCAGGAAACAAGGGTTATTTATGATTTGAAAATAGAAAAGAGACAACATTTTCCTCTGGCACTTCATTTGTCAGACATGTCTTCAACAAGGACAGCAGTAGGTTTTTGGAAAAGGAGGGTACCTAGGCTCTCAGGATCAGTGTCTGAAAAGCCAGCTTCACTCATGCACACAGTGCTTCTGGGATGATGGGCTCTGCACACGCTGTCCTGCTATGGAGCTTTGCACTGCTCCTCACACTTATCTCTGCTTAAATTGGCTTTTCTTGAAGGCTTAACAGCATCCAGTCTCCTTATATTTCATTCTGATGTATTTGATTCAGATCTGAAGGGCAATGCCCACCCAAGGGATGCCACCTTTCTCTGGCACATGCCATGCCAACGAAGGGCTGTAGAACCCACAGTTGATGACTTACAGGAAATGTCAGATCACACTGTGTTTTTGTATAAGACTCTAGCCATTCCTTTATCACTCAACCCTGAACTCCTTGAGATTATTTTTACAATTCTGAGGGACTAAAAATAGCAGTTTTATTCTTAGAGTTTGGTGAAATAACCTGTATGGCCTCTTCTGTTGAAAGTCACGATATTAAGAAGTTTTAAAAATGTCTATGCAATATATCATGACTCCTAAAATTATTTAAGTGAGATCATGGTTTTGAAAGGTTAGAAATGTTTTCCTTAACTTTTCTATTAGCACATATTAATTATATATAATAACAGGGTTCAGTATGGCATTTTCATGCATGTGATAATTATTTTGATCATATTCACCATTCATTGCCCTCCTTTGAGGCCCTTCTCCTCCCACTCATTCCCCTCCTCTTATCCACTAGTCTCTCTTCTACTTTTATGACGTTTTCTTGGTGTGTGATCCCTTGACTTTATCATTAAGGCCGTTTACAGAGCACAGGAGAAGGTTTCTTTACAGGAGCATGGCCACCTCCCAGTACCTGTACCATTGAAGAAAATGTCTTTCCCGTTCTCATCAACCATTATTTGCTTACAAATCCTCAGTGGTGGTGGGGACTCTGAGCCCATTTCTCCCCCATCACACAGTGCTGACAGACTCCGTGTTGTGGGGGTAATCACACCTGCCGTGAGTTCAAGAGTGCAGCAGCTATATCTTGCTGAGAAGACAATCTTCTTCCCCATTCTCCCTCCCTCCAGAGTCCCTCCAGTTCTTACATTCTGTCTGTCCCTTCTTCTGTGATAGTCTCTGAGTCTTGGGCAGGATGGTACAGATGTCCCATTTTTGGCTGAGAACTCTGCAGTTATTCTAAGCACTTTGCTCACTTCTGCATCTCTACAGTTATCCTTGATTACTGAAAAAGAAACTTCTAAGCCCAATGATGACAGCAGCACCAACATAAAGAATAGACACAGTTATTTAGAAGGCAATTTGGCTGACACATCATGTTCATTTAGCAAGAAAAAAAAAAGAACAGGAGGGTAGTTTTCCCATGGGAGCTTATTCCCTCTTTAGCCACGGGCTTTTGACATTTACAGTATTAGACTGAACTTCCTCTTACGTAGCAGGCCTCAGATCCAATCAGAAAGTGGTTAGTTAACCCTAGAACAAACAGACTTTCCACTACTGCACCAGAGGGAACATCTTGTCTAGCCAGTTGGTAGTGTTTCTTACTCAACTCTAGACCCATCATGACTGTTAATGATAATTTGTCTAGCAGCAAGCAGATCACCTTTTGGCATGGTGGGGGCTGTCCAGCAGAGAGGAAGTTTCCAGGTCAGTCCTCGCCTGATTTCTCTATCCCATGGTGAAGTGTGTGGTATCTTCAGCAAGCGAGTCTTACCATCTAGTTGTATGGGCAACCAGCAGCAGTGGCAATAGCCTCTATTGTTTTGAGGAGCACAGGGACCTCCATAAACAACAACTTGTAGGGAGATAGCCAACACCTGCCACTATGATTTTCATTTAATAATGAAAGTCTCCTGGGAACAGTTTTATCCTCTCTTGCAGACAAGATTCCTCTGTTCAAGCTCTTTTTATTTTCTTTCTTTCTTTCTTTCTTTCTTTCTTTCTTTCTTTCTTTCTTTCTTTCTTTCTTTCTTTCTTTCTTTCTTTTTTAAGATTTATTTATTTAT